GACTATAGAATACACCCGAGCATACTGCCAGAGAGGTGCTTCAAAGATGGCCGCCGAGTGAAATGACTTACCTTAAAGAGACTTTGCTATTAAGCAGGTGTGAGTTAGAGGTGTTTGGAGCCAAACTATGCAGAGCTGCGGCCCTCCAGGAATTAGGTTTGAGACTATTGATATTAACATATAGCTAACACGGGGTCTTAAGATGATTAATTTTCTTTAAATAATAAAAAAAAATGTAAAATAAATAAATAAATAAAAAACAGTTACAGTTAAACTAACAATAAAAACATCTCAATGACCTTCCTAAAAGGCACATGAGTCTTTTGACAAATATCTTATTCTTGATGGTTCATAAAAAAAACATTTAAGACGTACAACTCTTCTAAAACTTCACATTTTTGTCCTGATTGCTAAAATCTTTAAAGGTACAAAACACTAATAGCTAATAGTGTTGGGTAAAGTTACTTTTAAAAAGTAATGATCTACAATCTTTGAATGTCACGGTGGAGAAGTGGGTTGCACAATCCCCTCACACCAAGAAGGTTGCTGGTTCGAGCCTCGACTGGGTCAGTTGGCATTTCTGTGTGGAGTTTGCATGCGCGTGAGTTTCCTCGGGTTGCTCCGGTTTCCCCCACAGTCCAAGACGTGGTACAGGTGAATTGGGTGAACTAAAATTGTTTGTAGTGTATGTGTGTGGATGAGTCTGTATGGATGTTTCCCAGTGATGGGTTGCAGCTGGAAAGTCATTTGCTGCGCATAACATATACTGGATAAGTTGTGGCGACCCCTGATTAATAAAGGGACTAAGCCAAAAAAAAAAAAAATGAATGAATGAATACAATCGTCATTCATTCATTTTCCTTCGGCTTAGAATACATCAGGGGTCGAATGAGCCTATGTGTTACACAGCGAATGCCCTTCCAGCTGCAACCCAGTACTGGGAGACATCCAAACACACTCGTTCACACACATACACTATGGCCAATTTTTGTTTATTCAATTCACCTACTGTATAGCGCATGTCTTTGAACTGTGGGGGAAACTGGAGCACCCGGAGGAAATGCACACTAAAAAGGAGAACATGCAAACTCCACAAAAATATGCCAACTGACGCAGCCAGGACTTGAACCAGTGACCTTCTTGCTGTGAGGCGACAGTGCTAACCACAGAGCCACCCCAATCTTCAGTCAATTATTTTGAAAAAAGTAACTTAATGCGTTACTCGGTTGCTTTTTAAGGAAAGTAATGTGAGAGTGTGTGTTATGCTTTTATAAAGATTAAGATAGGCTTTAGATTGTAATTAAATTTTACCCAACATTGATAATAAACAAAGAGATGTCTCAGATACTTTTGATATGTGGAACAAAAGGCACTTAAAAATCTTATTTCATGGTGCGACATACTTTCTCTCTTTCTTCAAAGTACCTTAAACTTCAGTTTCCATGTTAGCAATACTCACAAAGGCAACAACTTTAAGTTCAGTGACACGACCTGCATATATAGAAGCATATATTGTTTTCAAAATGAAGTATTAATATACGACTTAGAATTCATAATATAAGCTGTTTTGTTTATATTTAAGAAAACGTATCTCTGCACAAGTTTTTGAATACAGAGTGTTTATTTTTTTCATTATTTCATGTTTGTACTAAATATGTATCTGCAATATTTCATAAATGCATTTTTTTTTCTCTGTTGAACTTGTATTTGGAAGATTTATAATATACCTTCCTATTAAATTGAACGTTGAGAAATCGAACCATACTCGAGTACAGGAATGTTTGATTTGAACACTGACCAGCAGAGGACGCCAGAACACTGAAGAAGATGTGTTGGACGACACTTTAGCCTCAATGAATCCGTTCACCTCGTTGTTGAACACGGAGTGTTAGATGTCTAAAAAACAGCTATTTTACTTTAAAATGCGATTGAAGAAATGCGAAGTCATGAATCCCTTTCCGTTTGTTCTATTATAACTATAGCCTACAGGCACGTAAACCCATCAGATGGCAGTGTTGCCTCGCAGTCCACCACAATTGCTGATGAGTTTTCTGAGGTAGGCCTACCATTTCACTTCAGGCGATTTAGCTGTTTAGATGTCAAATGTAAACCGTTTGTTTTAAGACTTCATTAACAAACTTAGGCGAAGACCTGTATGATTTAATGGTAATTTAAGTGAAATAAATGCTTGTAAAACAGTCATTCAACCAAATACACGCATTGCTAATTGCATTAACAACCTGCTTTGTTGTGAATACGTAAGTGAGAGTCTACTGATATGCTGTGTAAAGGTACCAGGAGCAATGTGGAGACTGGGAAAAACAGGGTTTGCTTGGTCAACCAACAGCAGACCACCAGATGGCCAGCACAGAAAACAACAGCCCATCATAGCAGGTAGGCCTCCTGTATGTGAAAATTCGTTGTCTGTTAGTATATAAGTAGAGTTATGGCTGAAAACCAATTTCATTTGACACTCTGCACTAGGAGTCATATAAACGACTCGTTTTTACGAATCGGTTCTTTTGGACATCATTTCAAACAACCAGTTCGAAACTGTTCATTTCACCGCAAAGTCTTGGTTAAAAATATTTTAATTGAAAAAAAAAAAAAATTTTATTAAAATAATCTTCATTTTGCATGCATTGTTTTATTTTAACAAATCCATCCAAATACAAGTATAAAAGTATCCTTATGTCCTATCGTCATATAGGCTCGATTTAATTATTTCTTTAATTCCTAGTTTATATTATAATTCATTAAATGTCGGCTCATATGAATCGGTTTTGTTTTTTATTTTTTATTATTTTGGACTGGCCAATCTCAGGTTGAACAGTTGAAGAGGCCCGCTCAATTAACGAATCGTTCAGACTGGTGTGCGAACCGGTTCATTCGATTCTTTAGAAAGAGTCAAATTAACCACGTTAAAGAAAAGTTCAAGCATCAAACATCGTTATCTCGGATCACTTATGAAGTTCCAAGTGGGTAAAGATGATGCTGTTTGGGATGCAGTAGACAGCGAGTTAGCTCTCTAGCTTTGGAGACACAGCCTACCTCAGCAGTGCACTGACAGGTGTAAGATTAACTTTGTTAGGCGCGGGCGCGTCCGTGCGCGACAAATTAAATTAATGGAACAAATTTCCCCCGTAATTAAGATAAAAATTCGTGTCAGCTATAACCTTGCCTAGCGCTAATTATGTACAAATGATTTATCATCTGTTTCGGTCGGAATATTAATCTTCAGCTCGTTGCAAAGCGTGGCTTGTGTTAAGAGATGAGGCTTGATTAACACTGACAGGTCTAGTAACCGCTCTCTCCCTCGCCTCAATTAACAGATAGTGGATGCGCAGGCAAGCAGAACCCTATTCTGATTCTGCAGTGACTAAAATAGCCCAGCTTTCAAACACAGCTGCAATACGAAATCCTTGTTATGTACCTTATGCGACTAGAAGCCATATTTAATTTTTCGCAAATGAAAACGAGGCCATGAGGGAGTAGCCTAGAGGCAGCCTACAGTCCGCTCAATACCTGCTTTTGTGTAGTGTGTCTATCAAATTGACATGCAGGGAAATTGAAAATTCATCTTTCTGTATAGGAAACCTGGTGATAAAATGGAAATGTGTTGTGAAAATTACGCTCCGCGTCTGCCTTGTTTTCATTCTTGAAAAATGAAGTGTGGCGTATGCTCTGAATAAGGAGCAATATATTTGTTGAAACACTCGCCTCTTACTCTGACATTTATGAGGACATTTTGTTCTCTAGACTATTTAAATCATACTTTGGAGTGGATAAAACATGTAGTCCATCTCTTCTCGATTGTGTTTACCCATTAGCCCTGATATACTAATATCAGTCATATCAGTGCACTTTATTCTCTTA